AACTTACACTAATGCTATGTTTTCTCTACTAAAGTACCATTTTTTAATTTCTTATATTTGAATTCTGGTTCCCCTCGTTTACTCGTCCAAGCTTTAGTATCCGATTTAGATAATATTCTTTCGGCATCAACTGCAACTTCTTTACATTTCAACATTGTTGCAGCCTCGTCTATAGTTACTTTAACTTTTCTCTTTTTAGGAAGTTTTTCAGGTTCTTCCTCGACTGATAAAAATTCTACAGAAGAACTGAAGAGCTTTATACCAGAACCGTTATTTGTATTTTCTGTAGCAGTTACGACAGAATTATCGTCTTTCGTATCTACAAATTCGATAGATCTAAAACAATTGTTGTATACTGTCAGTCAAAAAGTTCCCTGTTCACTGTACAAGAATGTATTTAAAGTTGGATCATTTCGAAGGAAATGGTAATAAATAAATCATTTTTGCATTGCTATATTCAGAAATATTACATTAATCGTTGGTGCAAAGAAAACAATTTTTATATAACTAGTCGTGTTAAAGTTACTTACTTCTCTATCATTTCATCCAGTTTTCTCGCAACATACTCCTGAAACGACGGAGTCACACCGAAGTTCTTAAATCTTTCCGTTTGTTCTAAATCTCGTCTCAACGATTTGGGTTTCGCCAAATCTTCTGAACGTTTGACAGAATCTAAACAAATATAACGAAAATTACTTACAGATTGTAAATTCATATAACATCAAATCATAAGATCGTAAACAAAACATTTCTTGCAGAAACATTCTACTCTTCTCTTAAGAAAGCCAATACTAAATAAGGTTATGTTACTCACTCTGTGACTGTTTTTGCTGAGAAATCCTTGTGTCATCGGGTTTCTTTTCGAACAAATGAACATCCTTGAAGAATTCATGATTTGTCGCTTCCCTTAACACACTTTTCGTTACTTCGTCCTCGGAGCTCGACGAGTCTACGACATCTTCGTTCCGTTTCGACATCGTTACTCGAATGGCGTGGTGCGAGTCAGCAATCGATAATCGAAATTCAAATTTCAATTCAAATCGAAGGCGCGCCGCTTTCGAACTCATCGAATAATTTTATCGATATCTATCCTAAATGTTTTACTATACCAGGTATGCGATATCGGAGCATAATAACGAGCACCAAAATCAACGTAAATCTAACTAACTCATTGCCGAAATTTGTTTATTAATTAATAGTTATAAATTTTGTACAGAATGTGAGTACTTAAAATGTGTGTAAAGATGTTCGTATATTGTACAATTATTTATTAGCGTTAATACCCTTTGATAGTAATTAAAAACAAAAGTCTTGACTGTGTGTGTCTCATAAAAAATTACATTAGAAGGACAGGTGTGGTAATTGCGTTGTCATCTAATTAAAGTGTATCAGAGTAGATCAGCTAATAACCTTCCATGGTAACTTTCAAGAAACGAAACAAACGATGTTCGCTAATTAAACAAATACGTGATTTTTGACGAGTGAAAGTAATGATGACAAGGAACAAACGATGAGATTACGTTGTAATGTAATGAAGTGGGACACTTTTTCTATGTTATGCAATCAATCAAATATAGATTCGTCGATGAAGATTATGATGCATTTAATAGTAACAAAAATTGATCAGTGTTTGGACAGCTAGCTTGATTCTGAACGGAGAATTTAATGATTGAAAAATTAGAATTGGAGGAGTGATATTAAAATCAGTATGTAATTACACTATGTAATTATGAGGAATGCGAAAAAGAAATAATGTGTGGAAATACACTAAATTCTCCTTAATTAGACGCTCAGCTTGTACGCAAAAATGGACAATTCGGGAAGGGGAGACACGATTATTCGAGCCTTATTATTTAATATTATATAATATTATAATTATAATAAATTAATGTTAATATTAGTATCAATATTATATTAATATTATAATATTAATATTAATATTAGTATCAATATTATATTAATGTTATAATATTAGTATTAATATCAGTGTCAATATTATATTAATATCATAATATTAGTATCAATATTATATTAATGTTATAATATTAGTATTAATATCAGTGTCAATATTATATTAATATCATAATATTAGTATCAATATTATATTAATGTTATAATATTAGTATTAATATCAGAGATGTGTATAAGAGACAGATATAATATGTATTATAATATATTATAATACATATTATATCTGTCTCTTATACACATCTCTGATATTAATACTAATATTATAATATTAGTATTAATATCAGAGATGTGTATAAGAGACAGATATAATATGTATTATAATATATTATAATACATATTATATCTGTCTCTTATACACATCTCTGATATTAATACTAATATTATAATATTAGTATTAATATCAGAGATGTGTATAAGAGACAGATATAATATGTATTATAATATATTATAATACATATTATATCTGTCTCTTATACACATCTCTGATATTAATACTAATATTATAATATTAGTATTAATATCAGAGATGTGTATAAGAGACAGATATAATATTGATACTAATATTAATATTAATATTAGTATCAATATTATATTAATGTTATAATATTAGTATTAATATCAGTATCAATATTATATTAATATTATAATATTAGTATCAATATTATATTAATATTATAATATTAATATCAATATTATATTAATATTATAATATTAGTATTAATATTAGTATCAATATTATGTTAATATTATAATTATAATAATTAAAAAAACATGGTGCAAGCCTCGAATAATCGTACCTCCTCTTCCCAAATTGTCCATTTTGGTGCACAATCTGAGCATCAGTTGGGGAGAACTTTTACTGTATTATCTTCAGCGGTAGAAAGGATTTTGCAACAACAAAAAATAGGAGTCCACACAGGTACACGGACCATCGTGAGAGTATTAGCAATCGTGACGCTGCTGCTACTAATGAGGGAAGTACAAAATCACCCACATATTTCAAGATATTAAATAAATCATCGTAATCATTACGTTGAACAAAATAAATTTTTATTTTTACGTGGAAACAGTCAACGTGTAGACTATGCTCAATGTTTCTCAGTAATTCTTGTTACGTAACTTGTGAACTGCAATTAATCCGATCTTGCGAAATTACAGAAATTAATGTTTACTGATAATTACGGTATCCATTATTATACTTCTCGAGATTAAATTATTATTATGATCATTTTTTAAATTTAAGATACTACGAATATTTCAACGCAAGCCTAATGTTGGAACTCTAAAGTTGAAACCTGTTAGATCGATATACACATATATATATTATTAAATATTATAGAAACAAAATTATCTTGTCTAGCGATTTTCACGAAAACTATAAATCTAAAAACTAAAAATTCGTTCGGTCACAGATATTCGCGATGTGATTCTGCCAGAAGTATATCGAATTTAGTTTCCAATTCTACCAAGTCGGCGTGTCCCTTATTGCAATTAATCGCGATATAAATTAACCGATACGAGCATTCTGAAATTAACAACAATATCATTTATACTCAACAGCAAAGTCCAGCGAAATGGACGAACGCAGTTTTTAAGGTAAGCAAATTTCCGTTTTCCGTTCAATTAGGCCGAAAACAAAGGTGCGCAATTGCTTCAACAATTGAAATTGAGGAATTGAGAAGAGAACGGTGGACGTTTTTACCCCCTCCCCGGTTAGTAGAGGACTGTTCTAGGTGCTGAATTCTGCGTCGCGCCCAGTGCAGCGCGAACAGGATTCATTTATAAATTCATTTTGATCGAATGCCACGGTTTGCGTTTCTATAAACGATGACGCGGGCTAAACACTTGTGTGTTATGTACAAAGTATGTATGCATTACGAACGGCGCGTTGTTTTTTGGCGACTCCGAAGACCGCGCGAGTGAAGGGAGGATTCTCGTGCAAACGTGTGTGAACGTGGGGCGATGAATAAACGAAGAACGATGAAGAAAATGTAATTCGGAATCATTTGGAAGTGTGTCTTAAACATAAACAATGATATATTTTAAAATATTATAATATTATTCTCTCTCTCTCTCGCTCTTTCTCTCTCGCTCTCGCTCTCTCTCTCTTTCTCTGCTCGAGAAGGAAAAAACAGTTCGACTAAATTTCTCTGTCTCAACGTGTTTAACGACAGATTAACAAGAATTACAGGCGCAACAAATGATTATTTCTCTGAATCATTTTCTCGAATCGTTTCCGACCTATTCGATGCTGGCTCGAAAGGAACAATCGTTAGAGACGTGTGTGGTCTAGAAACTAAATGGACGGGCGAAGTCGAATATTGCCAACGATGTTTTATGTATGTACACGATAATAATGATCGTTTTTCTCATGTTTTTTTCTGCGTCTGTCTCTTCTTCTCGTCCCCTAATCATTAAATTCTCTTAATCTAAATACATTTAATAATAATAATATATTCTCACTTTTTGCATCGTCATCTTTTACTGTGTGTTTTTTTTTCCTTTTGTTTTATTTTAGTGCGCTTCTGAGAGGTTTCATGTACAACTGCTTGTTGTGTGTATTTTAATCGCGTTAATTATTATTTGCTTTTCTTTTATATTTCTCTCTCTCTCTCTCTCTCTCTCATTCGTTTGCTCCGGTATCTTTTAATGTAATCGCGTTGTAACCCACTTGTTGCTCGCGTGTGTCCCCGTTGAACAATACGTCAAACGTATAAAATATACATGGAGGAAACGTTCACGGGTACACTTTATACAGATCAACACGGTTCTCGACAATTTTTGTTTAAACGTAAGCTATATGTGTATGTATATCATTTCTTCACCCCCCTCCTCGCTACTAATGTACCTTTGATGTGTGCATTGGTTGTTTTATTTCTTTTTTTTTGTTTCTTTTGGTTACTTCTGTTTGGCTCGCTCGTCAATCCCTCCTATTTTTAACTGTTCTGCTTTATTTTTTTTTATTTGTATAATGACATTGCATGTACTTATACTTATCGTATATATGTATATATGTATACATATATTCTTCTTTACCTTCCCCGACTCGCACCTCAATGTACAGTTTAATGTATCATTGTTTTTTTGTTCTTTATTCTGCTAAGGCATTTGTAATGGCAAGTATATTTTAAAAGTGCTGATGTCTAAACGCGCGTGAATACTTATTTCTGTTTTTTTCCATTTTTTGTACAGTTTATAAAAGTATATTGGCCATGTTATTATTGTAACCTCTAATTAGCCAGCTACGGTGTCGAATCACTTTAAAAAAATTATCCGCTCGTTAGAAAAAGAACTACGTCTGCCGTTCTTTATTTTCATCTCGTTCGTCACGCTTTCTTAAGATTCGATCGCGCCTTATAATCCGTGGCCACTAATTGTTTACTCTCTAGATTTTTTTTTCTTTATTTGCATGCAAACGTTACTTATGCTCATTACTCGGTTCTTCGCGCGCGCGCGCGCGCGTCTGTGTGTTTGTTTGTTTGTTTGTTCGTGCTTTTACTTGTACGTTTAATTTTTGTTCACACGGTTTCGTTCCGTTCTCTTATTCACTCCGGTTGTTTTGTTGTTGTTGTTCCTGCAATATTGCAGTAGCAATTGTTGTAATTATTGTTACTTGCGAACAACCGTCGCTCGAACGTGTCGATTCACTCCGCGAATATTTATATATATTATTAATTTAATCCGCCGTCTTAACGAAGACCAGTGTGTATCTGTGAATGAATGTGTGTGCGTATGTCTGTGTGGGAGTGAGTGAACGTGTATTCTCGGCAGCGAAACAATGCACGATAACTCTCTCTATGTAGTGTCCCGAGTATCGTCTTTGATCTCGTTCGGTTTTTCTTTTCTCTGCCGTTCTCTCGTTTTTTTTGTTTTTGTTTAGAGCGCGCGTTTTACGGTTAGTTTTTACAGCCTACAGAATAATTCCCTAAGACTATATCGTAATTTTACGTTATACCTCCTCCGGTACACAATCTGACACCGCTAGAAAGCTCGTACGAACGTGTGTTTACGTTTACGTCGAATTGTCGATTGCTT